TGTTTTATTTTCTACTTGAGGTGGAAGCCCCTTGAGGGCAGAAAGGTCATAGAATCAATTCTTTGTGCACTCTCATCAATTCTGCTGCAGATGTCTTCACTCTGTATTCAGTCAGTGAAGCCAGTTATTTGATGCCCACACATACTGCCACTTTTTGCCCTTTCTGAAAAATATCCCAATCATCTGGCATTTCTCATTTCCTAAGAATCTAAAACCAGGATCAGAGCTCTACCTTTATAAATTCAATAATCTTTGTATGTAGGGCAACCTAGCTTTGACTGCAGAGGAATAAAAAAGAGGGTGAGCTTGCAGGTGGTGGGCAGAGAAAGTAACTTGGAAGCCTCTCTCCCTCCCATACAGAAACTCCCCAGAATAGGCATCTGAGTCTCAGGGTTCCCCTGTCTTTACCTCACAGGACTCCCATCCCATGACCTGAAAGAACACCAGAGATGTGTTCACAGTCACTCAGCAAGGAGGGTCTGATGAGAGGTCCCACTCTTCTCCCCTAAACCCTGCCTCTTCTCTCAGACTGACACCTTCAATCTAGGGACCACAAACTAAGAAAAGGACTAGAGGCATTTGCTGCCTGCAGCTGTCTCCCCAATTACTGACTGGGAGGAGGAGTGAGGGGAGTTCACTTTAATTCATTTTTGTGAATGTTTAATATTTCAATTAATATGATTAGCCCCAAGCCTGAATGAGCAGCAGGGCGGCAGATCTGCTGAGAAGACATAGAGTAATGAGATCAACAGGGCCATAGGGTCTTCCCCTTCTCCATCCTCAGAGGGCATGATCTGTTTAGCATCTCCATAAATACCAAGATCAGATTAGAAGGCAAGGCAAGGAGCAGTGGGGGTGGGGTAGGTGAGTGGAAAGTTACTTTCAGGATGTGTTTGCCCTTCGTGATTCCCTGGCTCTGCCACCACTTGTGTCTTCTGAGCACCCACCACTGAGTCCTCTAGCACCTACCCCGACTGCTACCCCATTTTAGGGGACCCTGCAGGGGGGGACCTGAGCATCCATGTGAGGAACTGTAATCAAGTCTGCACCCATACACATTCCCTCAAATGCAAGCACCTGTGAGAATGTGGCTCCAGGCCACAACAAAAAAACAGGCCAAGGAAGGATGAGAGGTGACAACAGAATGAAGCCAAAAAAAGAAGGGCTCTCTCTCATCCAGGGCTTAAATGGAGACAGAAGATGAAAAAAGGCCAGACTTTACCACTGCCCCCATTCCTAAGAGGAACGTTTGATGTGGGAGTTAAATGCGTGGACTCAGGAGCCAGACTGCCAGGGCTCCAATCTCAGCTAGACCTCTTTCTAGCTACATGGCTTTTGGCAAGTTATTTCAGCTCTGTGTCTTGGTTACCTCTTCTCTATTTGGAGATAATGACAAAATCTACATCATAGGGGGGTGGTGAGGGTTTAGGAGTTAGTAAATATAAAGCACTTGGCACAAAGCCTGGGACACTGTAAGAGCCATGTAAGCACTGGCTGTTACTATTATTTCCCTTCCAGAAGAGAAGACGGCCTGCCGTGCTAGCTCAGGAATGGGGGTTCCTGGGATTCGGCTGGGACACAGTTCAGAGACACGAGTGCCTCTGTGGAAACAGCAGCCCCACCCCGGGTAAAGAAGGGAATGACAAGAAGGCAGGGTGCTGTACAAAAGCCTAGAGCCCCACCCGATGCTGAGCACTGACGAAAGCAAGGGCTGGCACCACTGACAAGGTTTGATGTCTGCAGATAATCCCTGCACTGAGGGCATGCTCTGAGTGGGCCCAGTGCATGGAGGGGTCAAGCTCCCTCCAGATCCTGGAGCCTGCCAATCATAGAAGTATCCATGTTCAGGGGAGCAATGGTCCCCGAATGTGCCTCCCCTGCTCCTCTGTGCTACCTGACTCAATTTGAGTCCCACCCAAGGAACCCCACTGAAGAAAGAAGCAAAGGAAAGAGTAATTGGGTTTCTGCATCCTAAGGGGGGGAGCTTGACAGCTGTGGTTCTTCCCACTGAAGGAATCAGGAATCCACTGTGTCAAGTGGTTTTTTGCATGAAGTGTTTGTTAAGCGCCTGCTACGCATGAGCAAGACAGGGTGCTAGACACTGTGAACAGTAAGATGCTGAATTAAACGGTGTCCTGGTCTTCAAGGAGCTTACAAGTGAGAGCGCCTGCCGTGCCGCCTCCACGGCCTTCCTGCCCACGCACTTATACACACAAACCCCCCCAGAGGGAGAGAAGGGGGAGTCGGCAAATGCCAGAAAGCTATCGTTTTTCTTGATTTCTTTTCTGGAAAATGTACAGCTCTCTTTCTGCATTCGTCTCATCCTGCTCTCCCCTTCCCCACCTTACTTTCCATTTTTCCTCTCTACATTTTTTTCTTTTTCCCCCAGACTGTGCGACCTGCTTCCCTCTCCATCTACACCTCCTTCCCCTTCAGTCTGCCCAACCGTCCTATCCCATTTTCTTTCCCCTCACTTCTTTCCTTGACTCTCTACTCTCAGGGCTCCCCAGATGCCGGGCTCCCCTCTTTCCCCCAACCCCCATCTCCTGAGTCTTCCAGCACCGGGGACAGCTCCAGCCCCCGGAACAATGGACCCCACTTTAGGGTTCCTCTATAAATTCTCCATCTTAGTGCTTTGCCCAACTCCTGACTGGGGAGTAAGATGGGGGAAGGGTTATTATCAACAGGACCAGCTGCTCTTCTGGGGGCGGGAAGGGAGTCAGGAAGGATGGCGATAGAGAGAGGGCGTGGCTCTTGCCTGGATTGTGCGTCCCTCTCTAGGGTAGAGAATTTGTATTCGACCCCTGAGACTGACATCACTGATGTCAGGGGAAAGGAGGTGGGAGTGGGGAGGGGGGTGTGGAGGGGGGAGGTTTTTGTTGAGGAGAGCGCGGCCGGAGAGCAGAGCTCCGGGACCCAGGTGACCGGGAAAGCAGGCAGCCCCAGCGGCGGGAGCAGCCGGCAGCAGCCCAGGCCCGGGGCCCGGGGCCCGGGGACCGGGGTGGGGGTGGGAGGGGGGCTGAGGGGAGGACCTGAAGGGGGGCAGCAGGGCAAAAGGGACCCCTGGAGCCCTGCCGCCATCAGAGATCAAGCATCTGGCATCAGGGATCTTCGGACCCAGCAGAAGGATCCGCCACAGGGGAGGTGTCCTCCCCAGGGAAGCCAACGAGAGATTCACCTGCTCCACATCAGGAGTGGGCCCCCGTCACTGACGCTGCTGGCAACCATAGCAGGCCCCTTAACCCCTCAGTCTCCTCCCCATCACCCTCCTCAGGCCCTTTCCCCACCTTCAGCTCCCATCTCAACTCCCAGTTCCCAGCTCTGTAAGCCCCAGCACCCAGGCTACCACCTCACGCTCCAGGTCTTGGCCACACTCACCCCCATCCTGGGACATTTGCCAGATCTCTGGGAGGGAGATCGTTTGTTTGGGCTATGCCCCCTGGTGGCATGACAGCATCTGCCTAGACCCCTGACCCCTAGCCCTCAACTCCCTGGGCCTCCTTTGTGTGAAGAGCCGCCCCTCTGCTCAGCAGCGTGGTTGGGGGCCAAAGGGAAAGCCAGCCCTGGCTGGGGCCCCGGCCCCCACCACTTGTCTCCTTGCTGGGCAGCTCCCCTTGGCCTTTGGGCCTCTCCCTGATCCCCTCGGCCCCTCCTCCTGGGCCGCCTCAATGAAGGAGCCGGATGCCATCAAGCTGTTTGTGGGGCAGATCCCGAGGCATCTGGAGGAGAAGGACCTGAAGCCCATCTTCGAACAGTTTGGTCGGATCTTCGAGCTGACTGTCATCAAGGACAAGTACACCGGGCTGCACAAGGGTGAGGGTCAGGCAGGCTGAGAGGCTGGGGTGGGCCGGGAGGCTAGGGGTGGGGAAAACCAGGCTGGAGGGGTGGAGTGGCTGGGAAGGGCTGACGTGGAAAGAGAAGAGTTCAAGGCTGGGGAAAGTGGATGGAGGAGCTGAAAAAGAACTCAGCTAGAGTGATCAGGAAACCCGGGTGAAGGACTAAGGAGGGCCTCTTTTGGGTGAAGAGTTGTCAGGAGGGCTGCAAAGATGTGGATCCCAGACATGGTGGGGGGGTGTTGATGTCGTGTGGGATGAATTCAAGAAAGAATGGAGGGACAAGAGAGCTGGTTTGGGAGATAAGGAGCTGGGCAGGGGTGTGTGTGTGTGTGTGTGCAGCAAGACTGAGAATCTGAGCAACCTGGATAATATTGGGATGGGGGGTCAAGACCCAGGGTCAGGTGCTCAATGTGGGAAGCATGGAGCTGGACTGGGCAGGGCAGCTCCAGCAGTAAAGAGAGGGACTAGAAAGCGCAGCATGAAGGCTGGAGATTGCTAACGATCTGGAAAGTGTGGGAGGCTTAGGAAGTTAAGAGTGAGGAAGAAGGGAGGGTGTTCCTCAGGCCTACCCAAGGGCCCAGGGCCGGGCTGTGCAGCTAAGAAGCAGGGGGTTGAGGGGGGCGGTCGGTGTCAGCACTTGAAGATCTCCATGCACCACGGATCCCAGGGGCCACTCTAGCTCCCCCTCCACCTGGCACAGGGAAGAAGCAATCGTGTGGCTAACTGCTCTTCCCTTCCCTTCTCTATTTTACTCTCTACCCTCCACCTGCCTATGTGGGAGTGGGGGAGAGCTGAGGAAATGGGGAAAATGGGAGAAGAGAGGGATGATGGTGACCACGATGGAGGGAGGTGGAGGTGAGGGAGAGAGGGAAAGGAGAGCAGCTCGGCGGGAGAGAAAGCCACATTACTGGTACTTGTCTGGCGGTCACATGCCCCTTCTCCTCTCCCCACACAAAGCCCATCTTCCGACAGCCCAAGTGTCCTCCCTCTTCCATCACCACCCGTATTTAGGCCTCCAGTGTCTGCCTCACTTCTGGGGCAGAGTGTCTACCCCTTGGAGACACCTCCCCACCCCAGCAGGCAGAAGACGACAAGAACGGAAAGCTTCCCAGTCCTCGGTCTTTGGAAGGAAGCCTTTCAGAGAGGGGAGATGGAGGACTCACCCCCCCGCCATGTTTCTCTGCCCCTGCCCCTCCTCAGGATGTGCCTTCCTGACATACTGTGCCCGGGATTCAGCCCTGAAGGCCCAGAGCGCCCTGCACGAACAGAAGACTCTTCCAGGGGTGAGTCCCATCCTTTGCAGGGCCGCGGGCTGGGAAGGGCCGTGGAAGTGGCAGGAAGCTCACCACCCTCCCAAGACACTGAATGCATTTTCCGCCTCCTCATCACCAGGAAGTCCTCCTCTCTCTCTAGCATCCGTCTTTCTTGCTGTAGACGCATGTATTTCTTGTTACCCGAAGAGAAGGAAAGCAGCGATTAATGGAGTAAATGTGACTTTTGCCAGGAGCAGATGCAGCCCCTTCCCCAGATCCCCCCCTGTCCATGAGGCTACACTAGAGGGAGGACTTGCTGGTTGGAAGATGTGGGGAAAAGTCTCTGGACACCAAGTGTGGATCAGGGTGAGCAGAAGGCACCCAGGCACTTTTTTGTCACTCTGGAAAGGCAGCCTGGGTGGCTGTGAGATTAGGGAGGAGTGCCTACGACTTGAGAACAGGCAGCTGGTGCTGGCTAGATTGGCATCTTGGTGCTGGTTCTTGAGCTCGGACAGGCTCCCTTCTGCCTCCCAGGAAGAGCCCCAGGAACACAGCCACAGAGCATCAGGGCAGGGCAGGGCCTGAGCAGGTCTGGGCTGGAGGTAGGCCTGGGAGTAGCAGGCAAGGGCAAGGACAGACATTGTAAAGGATCAGGCCTGATGCCATCAAGTATGCCCAGGGAGACAGGGGTGGCCTCGGAGGTGGCCTGTCTCCTGCAAGATCCTATCTCTTTGTGTCTTCTTCTTCCCAGCCAGCCTTGCTGACTGTCCCAAGCCTGGGCTGGCAACTGAGGGCGGGAAGAAAACCTTGGACTGTCCCCCTCCCCCAGTCACGGAAGCTGGAGGGAAAGAATGCCCCCACTCCCTTTGCTATCTGTCTGCTATGCTTTCTCCCAGACTGTGAATCCCAGCAAGTGCCTTCCTGAGACCTAACTCTGTCCCCACCTTCAGTAAACATTTGCTTAGCAGGGTCTGGGTCCCAGAGACACATCTGTCCTGGCCTTTACTCCTTCTCCCACATGGGAAGTGGAGAATGCTGCTGCTTACCCATCTCTTTCTAAGAGGGAAATAGACAAAACAGATGGGCAAAGGGTGGGTGGGGACCTGGGAAAATTAGAACCGCTGCAACCAACCCCAACTTCAAAATCCACCCCCTGGCCCTTCTGTGGCCTCAAACCTTTGAGTACTGCTAGGAAAGCAAAGCCAACAGCAGCAAATCCACCAACACCTCCACTCCCAACGGTCTTATCCCAGCTGCTGGCAAGAATAGCTATTGCCTGCCACAGCCAGGGTTAAGGGCCTGTGCACGTGTGTGAGCAGGCTACAGGATCCAAGGCGAGCGTGTGTTTGTGCGCACAGGCACGTGAGCTCCTGACAGGCCAGATGTGTGGGGTGAGGGCACATGCATCCCTGGGAAGACCGGTCCCCATCCAGTCCCAACTTGCCTTCCCTGCTTTTCTCTGTGGAGGCCCCTCACAAACCAACAGTTTTCATCTCCATCCTGTTTGTCTTTTTCTGTTGTCTCCCTGCCTTGGAGCCCCTGCAGAAATGAGAGGGGGTCAGAGGAAAAGGTAGAGAGGATGGGAGTGGGGACATGGATGAGAGACAGCCTGGGAATGGGCATGAGCCCCAAGGGCCATGTGTACCACCTGCGGGCGTCTACCTTGGGTCTGTGCCCTGGCGGCTCAGGCAGAGCTCCATCCTGGGTGTGGAGAGCCGAGGCCCGCTCTTCTTGAGGAAGTCCAACCCAGGGTGGGGTGAGGAAGAAGGGCACCCCAGTTAATGATTGCCTAGCCCTTGTCCAGAGTTCCCAGGTGACACTGAATTCTCCACTTTGGCCCTTGCCCCAGGGGACAGAATCCAGAGGGACCTAAGAGAGCTTCCAGTAGGAAATATGAGGGTTCCATCCTCCAAGAGGGATCCCCATGCAAGGGGTTTGAAGGAGCAGACCCAGGGCAGTTGTGGGGATGTCTGTGACCATTTGTCTCCCCTAGGTTGTCTCCTGCCACCTGCATTCCCCCCTCAGTGTATTTGCACGTGTGCGTGCGTGTGTGCACACACGTGTGTGCAGTGTGCGAGCTACTGCATAATTATGTTCTTCCTGTGTTTAATCTCCATGCCTTCCTACTGCATGTTTTTTTTTAATGGGAGACATTTAGCACCCTCTCCTTGCTCCCCATCTGTCACCCCAAAATCTAGAAGGCACCACAATGCTAGGGTGATACACTGGGCTGCAGGGAGAAAAAGCGTGGGGCCTGGGCCTGTAGCTGTTGAGCCCATTTCCTCTTCTCTCCCCTAAAAGCTCCCAGGAGTGGCTCTGCCGCAGGTCTCTGAACTTGTCCTGTGGGCAGGGTATGGCCTCCTGGAGGCGGTGGAGTGGGGGTTGCCCTCTGTCCAGCTCTTCTCCCTTCACCCTGAACCAAAATCCCACTTGAGGGACACAGGCCTTCCCTGTCTGCCTGCAGTCAGGAAGTTGGATTCTGGCCCACGGAGAGGGCCTGTGAGTGGTCTGGGACGCCCAGAACAAGGGTGTAGCCAGAAGTGGCAGGACCCCAGCCTATACCCTCAAAACAATTAGATTTTGTGAGAACTGTGAGCTCCTCTTGGAAGTGGGGTTTTTACTATTGGTGAGAAAGATGAGGGCCTTAAAAGTGACCACGGTGGAGTAGCTCAGCGATACTGGTTTGGGGTATAAATAGCCCCTTCTTCTTTGGGAGGCCCAAGGGAGGGCTTGTCACCTGGTGGGTAGTAGCTAGGGAGGAGAGGCGCTGTGCCTGGTTGCCAGGTAAACAGGGCACAGCCGGACTCAGGGGAGGGGGCAGGTGTGCCGGAGCTGAGCTAACAAAGCCTGAGCTCCCCACAGGAAGTGCCAGGCTACGAAAGAAGGAGGCTGGAAATGGGACACTGGGGTGCCAAGGGTCCTGTCTGTGAGGGTGTCGGGGGAGGCTGCTGTCAGCGTAGTCCTTGCTGTGGTCTGTACACTTGTGTGTCTCTTTGTGAGAATCCACATCCACGGTGGGTATTTCTCAAGATGCTCTTTTTGTGCCTAAGTGCCTATGCTGGGAAGGAACTGCATCCTTTCTCTCTGGGTCCCAGATTCCCATCTCCATCTAGAACAGCAAATCCCCAGGCCTGCTGGGAAGGGGCTAGCAACAAGAATAAGGGGCTGCAACCCTGGTTCTTTTTTTTTTCTTCTTCTTCTTTTTTTTTTTTTTATAAAGGCGGGGTTTCACCATGTTGGTCAGGCTGGTCTTGAACTCCCGACCTCAGGTGATCCGCCCGCCTTGGACTCCAAAGTGCTTGGATTACAGGCGTGAGCCACCTCACCCGGCCCCCTGGTTCTGATTCTGCTTCTTGTGGGGTGTGGCTAGGGATGAGTGGCTGGCTGCGGAGGTGCCAGTGAGGGAATTTCCTGAGAGCTTTGGCTAGAGCACAGGAGAGAAGGAGGTGAAAGCCCGTGCACCCCAAGCGTCTGGCCCCCAAGCTTTGCCTGCGCACGCGCACATGCACACACTCCTAAGGAGATTGAGCCTCGAATGGGATAATCCCAGATTGATGGACGATAAAGCTGAGGGCAGATTGGCTGGAGGATCTGTGTGACTGTTACCCTCCCTTCCCACCAGCTGCTCTCAGATCCAGAGATTTGGGGTGGTGGGGCCCTGGGAAAGGGGTGTCAGTTGAGGTGGGGCTTAGATTTGGTCCAAGGCGGGGAATACCTAACTGGTGGAATCGGCCAGACTGACTGGCGTGATGCAACACCTGGGTGAGGATCCAGGGTGAGAAGGGGCAGGGGCAACGGTGGCTTCTGCACTTCTTGGCACTAGTGATGCCACACACAGGATCTCCACATGCTGGAGCCCTGGAGCTGACAGGAACCTGACTAGACATCGCCTGGCCCACCCCCTTGTTTTACAGATGGAAAAGCAGAGGCCCAGAGGGGACAAGCAGCTTGTCCAGGGTCGCCCAGCTAGCAAGTGGCAGGGCAGGGTAGTCCTTAAACCCAGGTCTCCTGACTCCCGGTCCAGTGCCTTTCCTGAGGGTACCTCTAGCCTCACCCTCAGGATGTAAATGGATGGTTTAATTTTTTTGGTCACTGGAACTACTGCCCCACGGCCAGATGAGTGGGGCAACCAGGTGTGATTCCAGCTGTCAAAGTCCTCAAGAGCAAAATATTTTCAGACATTAAATACTAAGTCCTTCTCCTCTTTCTCCAGTTCCTATAATACTCCCCACCCTGGTTAAGAAAGTCAACCTGCAGGAGTAATTTCCGAGTCCTCTCACCAGACAAGAACATGGAGAATGGAACTAGGAATTTCTCCATTTCCACTGAAGACTGAACAAAGGGAGATACTGCAGGGGTCGGGGAGAGGTTAGAGCTCTGGAGGACTTCCGTGCACAGGGTAAATTGTGAAAGAGCACGGGACAGCAACTCCTCCTTTAGAGCCCTCCAGACACCAAGGATTTGCTCTGGAGGAGGGAGGCAGGAGAAGGGTTGGGATGGCCCCTGCAGGGCCTGCTCTGCAAGCCTCCCTCCAGAATCAGGAAGCTTTTCTGGGCCCCTCCCCCACCTCCCAGCCCCCACCAAATCCTCCACCCCCAGCATACCCTGTTCCTACCCCCACCCCACTCCTTCTCTGGGTGTGTGGAGCAGCAGAAGTGATGACGTCACCACGGTCGCCAGGGCGACGGGGACGGATAAATCAGGCTGAGTGGGCGGTTGCCATGGTGCGCATTCTCCTGTTGCCACGGAGACTGGGCATCTGCTCCCTTTGTGCTGCCCGAATGCCTTCCCCCTGGGGTCAAGGGGTACAGGGGGGCAGAAAGAGAGGCACACACACCTCTAGGGGTCGGAAGGAAGTCTGGGCCTCTGTGGGGTTTCCCTCAGTCTACAGTCCTCCTTGGGGCTTCTTCACAGAGTGGCCTCTGTTGCGCCCACTTTGTAGGATTGAGGCAATTCTTATTAAATCACCCCTTGGTCGGGCTCTCTCTCAGGCCCCGGGTCCTACGCGCGGGCCCCCTTCTCCCACTCAGGAGAGCAGCACCCATCCCTGGCTAAGTCACCGGAAGCCCAACCTGAGCCTGGAGCTGCACCCATGAGCATCTCCCTCCACATTCTCTCTCTGCGCCTCTGATCCCCTCAGGCCCTAATCCTAAACAATATTAGGCCCTGTCCCTTCCTTCCCATCAGAAACTTAGAGGGCCTGGGGCTTGCCCCGCTAGTCTCTCTGCAGGGCCTGGTCTGGAAGGGCTCTTGGGTGTTCAGAGGAGGTCCCCAGCAGCTGCCTTCTCTTCTCTCCTTCAGATGAACAGGCCCATCCAGGTCAAGCCGGCCGACAGCGAGAACCGAGGAGGTAGGTTCTATGCCTTTGGACTCTATCCCTCTCCTCCCACCCCCGGGCCCAAGGCCTAGAGTCGTCAAGGAGTAGCCTTTCTTGAGGGAGAAATCCTGATGGTTCTGAAGAGTCCGTGTGGTCAGAGGGGGTGAGATCTGGGGGGCAGAGATGTCAAAACTGAGGCCCAGGCTGGAGTGCAAGTTCTTCAGAGCTGGGATGAGCACCCTCTGTAACTGTACCCCATTCTCCAACCACAGCCCATTCACACCCTAGAGCCACCGGCCCCTAGGGTGGTGAAAGTAGTGTTAGGAGCTCCAGGGAAAGGTGGAAGGAGAAGGGCTGGGAAGGCAGCCAGGAGGCCCTGAACATGCCCTCCTCCTGTGCTCTACCCCCCCAGAAGACCGGAAGCTCTTTGTGGGGATGCTAGGGAAGCAGCAGACAGATGAGGACGTCCGCAAGATGTTCGAGCCCTTCGGGACCATAGACGAGTGCACTGTGCTCCGGGGGCCAGACGGCACCAGCAAAGGTAGCCGCCCACTGCCCCTCCCCCACCTGGCCCTTCTACTTCCGGTTCCGCCATCAGCAAAGGTAGCCACCCACTGCCCCTTCCCCACCTGGTCTTTCCCCTTCCTGTTCCGCTCCCATGGCTCCCTGAGCATGGGGTTCCACCGAGGGGACTCAACGGGAATGGGCGCTTACCCCTCCCCTCCTCCATCTCAACCTCTCCAGGCTGCGCCTTCGTGAAGTTCCAGACCCACGCAGAGGCCCAGGCGGCCATCAACACCCTTCACAGCAGCCGGACCCTGCCAGTGAGCCCTGCTCCCCTACCCCCTGGCCTCTACTTCCCACCCCGCCCACCTGCCAGGCCCTGGCCCAGAGGAGGAGTCCACTCAGGATGGGCTATTCGAATTTATTGGAAAGGATGTTCTGGCAGAAGAACTAAGCTGCCTAGGAAGGAACACCCTCACATTTCAAATGACATTTTCCCACCTCCCCCTCTTCCCCTATTCCCCGCCTCCACCTTCAGCCAAATTCCCTCACATTCCTCTCCTGCCCCCTCCATTCCCCAGCCCTCCCTTCACCCCATCTCTTCTCCAGCCTTCCCGTAGCCCCCACCCTCATTTGCTGGGGCACTAGGATGCTTGCTTAGAGGCCCCACGTGCATCCCTTCTTCCCTGCCCCTGCACAGCAGCGTTAGGTCAGTGACCACTCTGGGGGGGCTTCCCCAGCAGAGCCCACCTCTAAATTTGCACTGGGTGGCTCAGAAGGCTATGCATTTCCCTAAGTCACAGCTCTTCAGCAAAGGCTGCGCAAGTGTTTCACGGGTACTCGGTGGAGGGGACACAGCATTGGGTAGAAAACTGTGTCCAATGACCCTATGCCCCTTCCAGCTTTGAGATTCCGGGATTCTACCATCGGAGCAAATGCTCCAATTTGGTTTCTATTCAGCTCAGACTAGTATTAAGATTTGAGGCACGCCATGAGGACTGGGGTGTGGGGGCAGGAGTTGTGGTCAGGCACGCAGGGCAGCTACAAGGGAAGACAAGCCTGAGATTAAACATTTGCTGCAGCCACCCACGGTGTGGATGATTTCCGGTTCAGAGTCCTCACAGAGAAGCCAATGGTGCCTTTTCCATTCCAGCAGGCCTTTCACTTTGCAAGCACGTGCCTTCACAGACCTCATTTTTCTTCTAGCCTCTTGCATATCCTACCACAGCGAGAGGGTGGGATTAAAATGTCTCCATCTGTCATATGCAAAATGGTGGCTGCCCTCTCAGAGAGGCCAAGCCATGCCAGGGGGTGGGATGGAGGCCAGATCCTGAGGGCTCTGGGGAGGAGAGACCCTGCCTGCGCCTCTGATCTGCATGTGGGCCTGTGCCCAGGGTGCCTCGTCCAGCCTGGTGGTGAAGTTTGCTGACACTGAGAAGGAGCGAGGTCTCCGCCGCATGCAGCAGGTGGCCACCCAGCTGGGCATGTTCAGCCCCATTGCCCTCCAGTTTGGAGCCTACAGCGCCTACACCCAGGCCGTGAGCATGCCCCCATTGCCAGGCTGGCCCTCCTGACCCCCTGTATCTTGCCCCCACCCTCCCTATGCCAAGGTCCAGGTTTGGGAGGGGGCCGGGGGGGCACCGGGGGCCTGCCCCACTGTCCTCTCCTCTCCCACCAGCTGATGCAGCAGCAGGCGGCCCTGGTAGCGGCTCACAGTGCCTACCTCAGCCCCATGGCCACCATGGCTGCCGTGCAGATGCAGCACATGGCTGCCATCAATGCCAATGGCCTCATCGCCACCCCCATCACCCCATCCTCAGGTATGGCTTCAGCAAGCCCGGGCAAGGGAGCTAAGCATGGTAGGGGTGGGGAGGGGCACAGGGAAGCCTCGGGGTCTGGGAGGGACTCAGGGGTCAGAGTGGCCTGCTTCCTCCCTTCTGCCCGAAGACTTGCTGACTGGTCCTCTGCCTGTGTGTGTGTCTGCTCCTCTGCTCTGTCTCTATCGCTTTCTCCTCCCCAGGAACCAGCACCCCTCCTGCCATCGCTGCCACGCCTGTCTCTGCCATTCCGGCTGCCCTGGGCGTCAACGGCTACAGCCCAGTGCCCACCCAGCCCACTGGGCAGCCTGCCCCTGATGCTCTGTATCCCAACGGGGTTCATCCCTACCCAGGTGGGACTCTCTGCCTGCCCACCCCGCCCCAGCAACCAACCAAGCCACCACTCCCACTGGGGAGACAGGACACACCTTCCCTCCCAGTTTGGGGGGTTACAGGTGCTTCCTCCTGCCCTGCCATCCTGGGCGGGGATGATTCTTCCTGTTGGGCTCCACCAGGAAGCTGAGGTGTAGAGCAGCGAAGCAACCTGTCCAGGGTTGCAAGATAGTCAGACTCAAGTCTTCCTAACGCTGGGCTCTTGCCCCTCTTCCCACTGCTTTGTGCATTTCCACCTTCTCACTTCATACTCCATGCCCAGAGAAGCTCTGCTCCTCACCTGCCTGGTCTCGGCCCAGAAAAGCCCTGGGGGCTCCCACTGCGTGCCAGGCCCATGCTCATGGTCTGTGCTGCTCTCCCCAGCCCAGAGCCCTGCGGCCCCCGTGGACCCCCTGCAGCAGGCCTACGCGGGGATGCAGCACTACACAGGTGAGGTGCCCCAGCCCGGCCCCTGCTCAGGTGGGAGGAGAAGCAGGAGGGAAAGCGGCCCAGTAACCGGGTGTGGGCTTCTTGGCTCCTGGCCAGTCACCCTCTTCAGGCTTCACTGACAAGCTCAACTGTGAGGAGGGATCTTTAAGGGCGGCACATCCAGGGGTCTGAGGCAGCTCCTTTCACGACAACCTCTCAGCCCTGCAGCTGCCACTGGCGTGGGCCAGGGGAAGTAAGACAGGATTGGCTGGGAGGGCCCAGGAGTCAGGGAAGCCCCATCAGCCCTCTCTGTTCTCCTCACCCCAGCAGCCTACCCGGCAGCCTACAGCCTGGTTGCGCCTGCGTTCCCGCAGCCCCCAGCCCTGGTCACCCAGCAGCCCCCACCACCCCCTCAACAGCAGCAGCAGCAGCAGCAGCAGCAGCAGCAACAGCAGCAGCAAAGAGAAGGTGCTGGCTGGGGCCTTGGGAGACGGGAATGCCCTTGTTATGGGCTCGGGGACTCCCTACTGCCCTGCACTGAGCCCAGCCCTTGGCCCGTGTTGGGATGAAAGCAAGTGGGGAGCGGGTGGCTGCAGCCTTGGCCCACACTGTCGGGGACTGGGACTGGAGGGCCCTCCCAAGATCTGCTTTCCCCAGGACCTGTGCTCCTGGAGTATGTGCCTCCCAGGCACTGAGCTCTTCCGTCTCTGCCGCCACCCAGGCCCTGATGGCTGCAACATCTTCATCTACCACCTGCCCCAGGAGTTCACTGACTCAGAGATCCTCCAGATGTTTGTCCCCTTTGGCCACGTCATCTCAGCCAAAGTCTTTGTTGACCGGGCCACCAATCAGAGCAAATGTTTTGGTAAGAATATGATATGGCACATCTTTTGCTGAACTCCACATCAGGGGAAGGTCTAATACATGTGAAGGCATTTGTGGTCACTGTGGACCCAGTATTTGAAATCCTGATTATCCAAGAGCACAAAAGAACCATTTTGACACACCCAACATCTCACACCAGCTGTTGCCCAGGCCCGTCTCTTCTTCCTTCATCTTTTCTCTTAAAAACTGGCCAAATTCATGCCCTACAAGGTCTGAAATAGGCTCATGGTCTGGGGATGTTTCGTTTTCAAAGGCAGGCTTAGGGAGTAGGTTTTAGTGCCTTCACATCTTTGAAAGGCTGCCTCAGGGGAAAAGGGAATGTTCTCTGCTTCAGAAGCCATTTAGGGTCTGGAAGTAGCTGTTTTCAAAGGGCAGACTCAGAGCTAACCAGGCCAAGGAAGGGGTCACCAACACAGAATGCCGGGAGGCACATGGTAGTTTGAGCAGCTGGATTGGATTCATCCATTCAGCCCGTCAATCGAATTTCTACAGAATGCTGCTCTGTGGCAGGCAGCTTTCTAGGCATTTGGGACACTTGGGAGACATAGGGTAGTGCTGGAGGTCTCCTAAGCACAGGAGAGCAAGGTGGGGCTGGGCTGGGCCTTATGCCCCTCTCACCTCAGGCTTTGTGAGTTTCGACAATCCAGCCAGTGCCCAGGCCGCCATCCAGGCCATGAACGGTTTCCAGATCGGCATGAAGCGCCTCAAAGTCCAGCTAAAGCGGCCTAAGGATGCCAACCGGCCCTACTGAGGCCCCCAGGTGGGTCCCGTGCCTCTGTCGTGGCCTCCCTCCCCAGCTCCACACTGCAGCCAGGGCCCTCGATCGACTGTCCATCCTCAGGATGCCCACCCCACCCTTGACTCTGGGCACTTGAAGCAGGGGACTGGGGCAGCTCCCTCAGCTGTTTTTCAATAATCTGAGTCACTCTTTCTCTCTCTCACACACATACACACACCCTCTGTGACCCCAGAAAGAGCCAAGTCTTTGTCTGTATCTGTGTCCACTCCCTGGACCTTCCACAATATCTGGTCGTTTGTCTGGTCAGTGTCCATGTCTGTGTGTGTCTCTGGCTTTCCTTCGGGCTGGAGTGGAATTAGGGGAACAGGACTGGAGGATTAAGGGGGCTGGTGGAGAGTGCCAGAGGGCCCTAGAATTCTTGGTCCTAGAATCTCTGTTGTCCTGAAAAGTGAGGACATCTGGCCCTTGTTGCCCTGGACTGCAGGTGATTTTTCCCATGTAGCAGCAGACCCATGGGGCAGCAGAGTACACAGGACAGACTGGGGGAGCCCATTTCCTGGCCTCTTGGGAGTCGCTCTGGTTTAGGTGGAAGAGGCTGAAATGTCGCGCTGCCTGTGAAGTTTACCTGCCAGGTCCCTCCACCCCATTGCTGGCCTCCACCTCAACCTCAGCCACAAAGCTGGAAGCCTTGGTTACTTTCACACTGTTTAATCTCCTTCGGACCAAACCCTTGAAAACACACAACCCAAGAAAAATACCCACATTTTCTGTTTCTCCCCTTTCCCCCCCAATCCTGGCTGCTTAACTCCCCCCACCCTGGGGGCCCCCCCAGCCCAGGGCCCGTGTCCATTGTCGGCCGAAGCCCCCATCCCCGGACCCCTGCTCCGGGCCCCTGTAAGTTGCATGGAACGAGCGTGTTGTCTTTGGAGCCGATTGTTTGTTATTTGGGGAGGGGCCGCGGAGGGAAGCAGCCCCAAGCCCAAGGTGAGGGCCGGGGGCAGCTCGCGGGACGTGCTTGGTCTACAGTGGTTGGTGACTGTGGTCTGTGTTCTGTGCATTTCTCTCTTGCTTTCTGTGTTCCTTTCCAAAAAGGAATGAGAGCACTGCCTGGGGGCTGGGGGTGCTCTCACCCCATGAGACTCCATCCCTGAGCCCTGACCTAGGTTCCACCCTGGCCTTCTCTGCAGATGTTCCCTTTCTTTTTCCAGGTGTCTGTCTCTCACATGCACCCCCTTCTCTCTCTCTCCATTTCTCTGCCTGCCTGTCTGCTGTCATCTCTGCCTCTCCCCCTCCAGTCTTTACTTTCTCACAGGCTGTCTGACTATTTCCTTCCTGATATCCTTTGGTTTCCTCCATGGTTCGCCCCTTCTCTCCTGTTCCTGTATCCCTGCTCTCATGGCTGGGGGGTGCGGGCAGATGGTTTGGACTGAGGCCTTTCTGATGACCTGCCTTCCTCAGGCAGCCCCATCCTAAATGCTGTCACCCACCCCAGAGTCCTCCCCTCCCCCAGAACCCGTGACCCGCATCGGTGGTCTCTTACCCATGCTTCACCCGTATTTCTTCCTTCACAGGTCTGGAGATCCAGAGGAAGGGGCGCCTCACACCCTCTTCCCACGACTGGGCCCAGCCCTCTCTGCACACCTGCCCTGGGCCTTGACTGGGCTCCGGGGGCAAACATGCTTCGTGGCCCTGGGGGGCACAAGACACCAGCCCCTCCCACCCCTTGCCTCTCTGAAGGGCCGTGGCTATGCTTCCCTGGCTCCAAGGGCCAGCTTCTTCCTAGGTGCCCTTTTGGCCTTTGTGAGGGAGCGAGGGGAACAGGCTTGAAGGTTCCGGGGTAACTGCCTTCTGCTGGGCTCCTGTGACAGGCCTTCTGTGCCCAGCGTTTGTACTTGCCTCCCCCACCAGTGGGCCTGTTCTACCCGTGCAGGCCTCAGAAGAGCTGCAGGGGCCTGCCACACACTCCCAGCCCACCTTCACCCCAGCCTCTTCCCCACACTAGGGGTTTCTTGGAAGCTGGCTCTCACTCCCCTCCACCCTCAGCTTAGAGGTAGGATATCCCTAACTCCTGGGCTCCCAGCCCTAAAACTCACTGCCTCCCCCAAGGGCCCCCTCTAAGGAGGGTGTGGGGGAGCCCTGAGGGCTGCCTCTCTGCCAGTCAGCCACAGAGACCCTCCTCCTTTCACGAGGAAAAGACCTTTCCCTGAACCCCTAAAAATGTTTACAGTCTCTGCTGGTTCCCTCCGTGTAAATACCACTACCACCCGTGCGTTATCCAGCCCGCCCGGCCTGGCCCGGACGCTGCCATCTCTCTTTCTGGGAGTTTAGACAATGTTGCCCTTGGATTTTTTTCTCTCTCTCTTAATTTCTCCCTTTGCTTTGGGGGGTAATTGGGTATTGGGAGGAGGGGTGTGGGGAGGGGTAAAGGGGTTTATTACCTGATCATTTTCTTTAGAAAGAGGTTTTAGGGAAAAGAAAATGGGGTGGGGGGTGGGAGTGGTAAAGGGAGACCGGGGAGTCAGTTTCAGACAGTTCTCTATGCGTAACTTATTTATTTATTGCATTTTACTTTTAAAGAGTTGGTCTTTTCTGTCTAAATAAAGAAAAAAGTTTAAAAGCATCAAATAAGAGTCTTGGAAGGTTGAGGGTAGGGGATTGTTCCCTACCCACACGGGAAGGGGGAGGGAGGTAGAGAATGAGGTTTGAGAGAGAAAATTCCATTAGGGAAGGCTGGGCCCTTGCTTTAGAGCAGCATCCAGGCCTTGCTCATGGCTTCACGATCCTATCCTTCAGCCCTTCTTTGGGGCTTAATTCTGGAATGTCCTGCAGAGTTGGGCACAAGATCTCCCCTGTCCAGGGCTCTCCTCTGTATCTAGCCCTGTCCTTCCGAAGGCGGAGACTTGCCGTCTCACGTCTGGACCTCCATTTCTGCAGAGGCCAGTGTGGGTACTGGGAGCCAGCTGTAACACCACCATTTACTAACCACTGCTCCACATGTGATTCTGTTCCAGGCCCTTATTGTGCATTTCCTCATTTTACCACCCAACAACCCCGTGAGGCAAGATAATAGTTTCCTTTATTTATTGTGAGACAGGGTCTTACTGTGTCACTCAGGCTGAAGTGTGACAGTGATTCATAGCTCACTTCGCCTCAGACTCCTGGCTCAGGTGATCCTCCTAACTCCCAAGTAGTGAGGACTATAGGTGTGTGCCACCATGCCCAGCTAATTTTAAAAAATGGTTTTTCTTGGAGACAGGGACTCGCCGTGTTGCCCAGGCTGGACTTGAACCCCTGGGCTCAAGCAAACCTCACCTTGGCCTCCCAAAGTGCTGGGATTACAGGCATGATCCACCATGCCCAGCCTAGGTAGGAAATAATTTTACAGATGGGAAAAGGAGGCTTGGAAGGTTGACTAACTTACCTGCAGTCACGAAGCCAGTAAGGCACGGCTGTAGGAGCCGAACCCAGTTTGTCAGACTCCAAAGCCCATGATGTTCTCTTACCTGTTCTTTGACCTGACGCAAAGATCCCAAGAAGTAGCAAGCACGCTTAGCAGTGAGTCCTCAGGTAGAGGGTGGACTACACAAGCCCTAAGGTCCCTCCACTTCCCAGATTCTTCTCTGTGAGCTGCTTTAGGGCAGACTTAGGATCACACAGGTGTCATCTTTGACGTCATGGCACATGTGCTTCTGGGCTGCTACCCCACCCTTAGTATGTCCCTTCTTATAAACTGCTTAACTTCCGGCTCTGATCTGGCCTCAGGTCAGCGTTCTGTGAAGGCACAACAGTAAATCCCAACTCACCCGCAGATCCCTGCTCTGTACTTCTACTTCTCTTAATTGACCTCAAAGTAAGAACAGTTAAACAGAGAAACAAAATGTGAAATACTATGCAGATATATATGTGGACATAGTTTCGGTGGGGCGGGAGTGGGGGGGGAGTGTCTTTTGGATTGGTAAAGATCAGAAATGGGACCTTACAAAGGAGAAGAATCCAGCCAGTATTCTTAGCCAAGTAGACAGCATCTGAAGTCTCGATGACACAGAGCGGTAAGTGTGTGTGGGTGTGCTCAGATGCTCAGAGATGAGGAAAAGCCTGTGTAGCAAGGAGGACAGGAGTCAGCCCTGCAGATTAATATCTACCAGTTTCCCCAAGAGCTGCCTCAACTTCAGGATAGAAAGATGGAAGGTGGGTTTGAGACTAAAGGCCATCTCCCAGAGTGATTCACTGACCCGGGGGTTCTCTCCTGGGGGGTAGGGGTGGCAACAGGACTGAGAAGCCACCTCCTTCCTGGCATCTTCGCAGACTTCGGGTGGTGCCTTGGTGTGGCAGCCCCTCCTGCAGCACCAATGGCTACCTTTACTGTCTGTTTCTTCTAAAATAATCAAGTTATGTTCAAATGTTAATGGCAGTATAAAGGGAAGAGAAGGAAAATAACTTCTTGAGCCAGAAGAGTGGAGCTGACTAATGGCAGGGATAGAAGGGATCTTTCAGTTGTAGAAATGAAAGCAGAAATTTAGAAAAATATCCTTAGTTAGGGAGATTAAGCTGATGAGACGACGCTGGGGGGACATAGCCCTAAATAATTCCTTCCACATGTCCCACCCACTTTCTGTATTTCTAAAGCTTTGGAAGCATAAACGTAATGCCAGGTGTCTCTATCTCTTTGGGTGGGACACTGTTGACCTGAGAGCCAGCCTCTCTTTCAGTATTTCCTTTGTCTTTAAATTCTCCTGCTAAAATGTCAAAGCCTTTCACAGCCTTGGCTTCAGGTATTTGTGACTGAAGCAGTTCCCACTCATGGCCAAGCCTCATTCTCTTCTCCAAATCTGGTGACTTGAATAGCCCTGACGCAAACTCCTGGTTCTACTAAGACCCTTGGTCTCTGGCCCCTCTTTCAGTCTATTTCACAGAGCAGCCAGCTGCTTCTTGCTCCTCATAAAGCTGGTTTCCCTTTAGTATATTGCATCCTCTCATCTGCTTGATGAAAACCAAGTCCCAGTGATAATGTTTCTAGCCTAATTTCTGTCCTGAACTCAATTTTGGTGTTACTTTTTCTCCCTCAGTCTTCATCATTAGTAAGTTGCACCACTATGTACCCACTCAAGCCAGAACTTGGATCACACCCTTTCTCTCACGTCTCCTCCCTGATCCAACTGCAAAGCCCTGCTGAGTCTACCTCTATAGCATTCAGCTGATTTACTTACTCATGTCTCTGCGTCTCCACAGCCATCAACACTGTCCGTATCACATTGCTGTCATCTGTCTCTGGTTTCTTCTCCTGCTTTCCTACAATCTGTTCTCCCAAGAAGCCAAAGAGTTCTCTTTTAAAAGTTAATTCACCAACATTTACTACCTGCTCTGCTTTGTCCAGCACTGTATCCTTGTCACCCTACACAGTACTCCAAACATTAGACATTGCTTAGAAAATAAGAAATGGGCCAGGCGCGGTGGCTCATGCCTGTAATCCCAGCACTTTGGGAGACCAAGGCGGGTGGATCACTTGAGGTCAGGAGTTCGAAACCAGCCTGTCCAACATGGCGAAACCCCGTCTCTATTAAAAAATAAGTAAATAAAATAAAAAATAAAATTTAAAAGAAATTAAGAAATGACTGTTGGACATCTATACTGGATTTCCCATCTGTATCTAAATCATCACAGGTCCAAAGCTAAAACATTTTCTCCCATAAAGCCCCAACTCCCATATTTCTATTTTCTAGTCACATAGACATAAAACCTGAAGAGTTTTTACTACCCTCACATAAATTCAATGGTATTAAATCATTAAAGATTTTACTTCCCCAAACTTTCTCCTATCATTTCCCTCTTTTCAATTATCACTGCCTACATTTATTAACTGAGTAATCACATCAATTTCCTAATTGGTCCTTCTGTCTATGTTCTGAAGCAGCCATCTTTCTAAACTGCAGCTAACAAAAACAAAACTTCTCTGTTTTTTTTTTTTTTTTTTTTTTTTTTTTTTTCAATAGAACACCTCAGGCAGCCATCTTCAAAGCCTTACTTTCCACTTCATTCCTGCACATACCCAAAGGGGACTCTTCATTGTTCTTTGGGCAAGTCTGGTCCCTTTTCGCCCATGTCTTTTCATTCCCAATTACTACAGTGTCTGGCACATAACGGCTCAACATGTTTGTTGAATGCCTTCTTGTTGAAATCCTTCTCAGGCTAAAACAGTTCACCTTAAACACTACGCTCTTCATGAAAATCTTAGCGGCCCTCATCCACAGGTCTTTCTCCTTCCGTTTCTAGTCCTCATGGCACTTAAACCTTTCACTGCTGTGTATCGTGGCCATATGCAAGTGTCTTATCCCTCTGTGAGCCTGCAAGCTGGCAGAAGTGTTTGCTTTTGTGTCTGTTGCAGTATCTCACACAATCTCCCCACCCCACCCCCAGCAGCAGATACCTAATAAATGTTTGACTTTAACCACTTAACTCTGATTCCGGAATTCCACTTTTTTCTTCTTTATGGATTCTTAGCTTATGAAAGATAACATTTCCCCCCCTCCATTAGCACAGTAGTGTTTCTTGGATTTTAAATATCCAAAGCTAACGGATGGGTGAATGAATGAGCCCCTGAATAACGTCTCTCCCCAAACTGCCAAACAAAATGCCAAAATGGTCCTTCCTCTTATGGTTGCCAGTTAAGGGTCATTAATTAGGGAACAAAAGCATGTGGTCGGAAGTTATAAAAATAATAATAAATGAAGCTTTATAAAAAAATTAAAATGTCTCATCCACCACAAATGCTGAGCTTTTCAGACCAGAGTCAGTTCATAAATAAAGGTGCAGAGAGGAACAGGTACTCCTGAGAGTAGGTAGTTAGGCCCCAGCACCTGATATGCCTCTGTAAAGGCAAAAGGCAGTAGGACCACCGTTCTTCTCAGGACTGTGAGCTCAGGGCAGAGTATGGCCACCCAGAGTACCTAGTTTTGTACTGGACATTCAATAGTCATAATGTGTTCCTTTCAGTCCAGATCCCAAGGAGAAAAACTTTCCCGAGTTACCTGAAAAAGCATACACATGTTGCTGGGGGTGGGGAGGAGGGACCACTGCTGAGATCTGTCCCAAGGGCTCTGCCAGGCTCGATCTCCATAGGCTGGGAAAGGAATCCTGTCAATCTTCAAAGGATTTTTGTGCAAGCTTGCAGATAAGATGGGCAAGCTCAATCACCTCTGAGATCTAAAGGAGAAGAAGGAATTTTCAAAGGAGCCACTGGGAAAAGAACTGCAAACCAAGGGCCTCCCGTGGATTCTTTCCCCACCCTTCTCCATTCCCTGCCCTCAAAAAACTGCCCCACTAGTTACCTGGGAAAACCAGTCAGATGTTTCTTCTTCTTTTCAGACTGACCACTCTAACTCAAATCTCAAAAGTCCCTGTTCACTTCTGCCCACACAACCCAAAGGATTTGTAGTCTAGGAAACCAAAGGAGTGTTTGATCAATAAATCAATTTATTTAAAAGAATATGTTACAATTAATTACACTAAGTGACATTACCAAACAATTTTAGAGTGGTTAGCTCTAGAACAAGGAATGAAAGAAACACTGTTAGCCATTATTGTGTCTGTGTATTTTCTCTTCACATTTCTTAAATCACAAATAAAAAATACAAGATACTGCAGTGAAAATACAATTAGAGTTTCTCTCAAATAAATTAAATGTGCGTGGCCTGGGAAAGACTGAAGCCCAGCTCACTGGCTTAAAAGGGGGTCATGATATAAAATTAACGTCCAAGTTTAGCAGGTGGCCAAGTGCCCCGACCCCGTATCACTCCCCTCTTTGAATCTACTCCTTCCCATAGCCCTGACCTTCCCACATACCCTAGATTATTGCTGAGGAGTGAGCTGATGCTGTCCTAGCAGCAATGAGGCCTGGCGTGATGTGCTCACGTTAGGGGAAGAGGAAGTCAAGAGGTGGACCTGGAAGATGGGGAGCTAGAGAAGCATAGCCACTGCCTCTCTTCTTCCCTCTCTCCGAGTGTTCTATCACATCATCCTCCAAAGGAAGCTACTGTGACACAAGGCAGCTGGTGAAGAAACAGCTGTATGTTGGGGTCAACACATCAAAGAGCTTCTACTGCTGAATCAATCTAGCCAAATAGTATGATGGAGAGAAGGGAGGGCACAGCACCCCTCCTGGTCTGGAAAATTTAGGTCAACTAGGATGAAGTCCCCTTCAAGAAAACTGCCTCCTAGGAGCCCAGCCAGAAGTTGGCAAATTCTGAGATAGGAGAGCGAAGTGTCACCTCCTGTCAGTGCCCTATTTCACTGCTCCAAGCATTGGGTTTGGAGCTACAAGAAGGGATAACCCAAAGCTACCGGCCTGGGTAACTAAAGGGTGAAACTAAATGGGCCAGGCATAAGGATGATGGAATATTTATCTAATTCCTCCCTGAGAGCTCAGTCCAGGCCTAGGAGCTGCCCTGAGCACGCACATATCTGTACCTGTGCTTCGGCCTAGGGTAAGGAGAGGGCAGGAAAACAGAGAATAGAATAAACATATAAAGAGTAGAGGGCCCAAAGCATGGCCCAAGGGAATCTTTCTGCAGGGACAGGTTTCTCAGGGTCCACGTTTGCTCTTGGGCCATAAAAAGCTCTGAGCTTCTACCCTAGAGGATAGAAACCAAGTGTGGAGGGAGGCCAATGAGAGACCAGGAGGATCCTGCTGGTTCTGCTGGGATGAAGCTGGGGGCATGGGGAGCCCCCTCTTCCCAGGAACAAATTGCAAAAGAAGTCTGGGTAGAAGCCTCCCTGGGCAGAAGCTGGGACTAAGAACAGTAGAGATTATAGAGGGGAAGTGCAGAGGAAGGGGAGAGAGAACGGTCACAACTAACACTGCTTCATGCAAAGAAGGGCTTGATCCTACAGGACCTGCGAAGCCACAGGGACCCCGCCTCCACCATCCAGGGCTGGGTATAAGCGGAAAAGGAGAGGGCGCTGTCCTTTAGGGTTGCCCTCCTTCCCCATCTCCTTGCTGCAAGCTGGGTCCTTTGTTAGTGGACACTTTCAAGAAGGGGCTGTTCCTAAATAACCTCTGCCAACAGGCCAACTACCTGTACGGTCCTCACCCATCTCCAAAGCACCAAGTGAACGCTATCCCAGAAAGGGAGCACAGCACCATCTCCCCACTCTAAGGGGCCTCCAAATCCCTATGTCTCATATCCGAAGGTCAGCATTTGAGCTGTCGTATGGAATCCCAGATTTGTTCATTCTTGTCCCACTCTGAGTGGAGTAGGGGCAAATTGCTATTTTTACAGTTTGAACAAAGCTGGTGCCAGAAGAATCTTTAGCATCTAGGAGTGGGAAATCAACATGTCTTCTTTTCAGGGTCCTTTGGCTCATTTTAAATTCATTTAAGCCAAAAGAAGTTAGTTGTGTGTCAAAGTCTTCAAATTAGGGATCCCGCTGCAACTTTACACATTCAGCATTCTTATGTTTGGTAGCAGCCACCTGTAATCACAGCTACTTGGGAGGCTGAGGCCGGAGAATTGCTTGACCCCAGGAGGCAGATGTTGCAGTGAGCTGAGATCGCGCCACTGCACTCCAGCTTGGGTGACAGAGCAAGACTCCATTTTGGAAAAAAAAAAAAAAAAATAGACTTTCCAACTACCCAATGCTGCTCAGTGGAGTTGACTACAACCATTTGTGACTGTCTCGCAGTTAGAGCGAAAGATGCCATCCTATGAAGGTTTTGTTTGGAAGGGGGAGCAGGGAAAAATAAAAGGCTCAAAGATGTGTTTTAGTTGCATCTGAGCCTGACTTGGTGCTTCTTATGTATAACTACAGAGCTTAGGGGGCTGGGGATATTGTCCTACCCCAGTTAGCTCCGGCTTCTAATCCTTGGATGCAACTTTTAGGGCTCAAAGGGTCTAGCTGCAAGATCAGATGAGGAACTCTTTGAAGGACAGAAAGCAGAAGAGTTTTCCTTCAGTTTCCATTTAACTAAAACCAATCTAAATCAACCATATTCCTACTACTCCTTCCTGGGTCCTCAGCTGGCTTGGATGGGGCTATAGTTTGGTTGGCACAGACCACTGACCCACTGCAAGTTTCCCCAAGACCTTGAAGGTATTATTGGATCCCTCCCCATCACTGTTTAAGGAAGTCACAGAGAATGTCATAGTTGTGGGTGGTTATTGGTCAGGAATGGAGAAGGTAAAACCTCATGTACATAGGGCACTGCTTGCTTACTTTCCCCTATGTAAGTCCAACCTGTTTGCCTAAGGCATCAGCTTAACTCTGGTCCTGCGTACTATCCCTGCTGCAAAAAAGGCAGGGAAGGACACAGTGGCTCATGCCTGTAATCCCAGCACTTTGGGAGGCTGAGACAGGAAGATTACCTGAGGCCAGGAGTTCGAGACCAGCCTGGGAAACATAATGAGACCCTGTCTCTACAAAAAAATATTTTTTAAAGAATTAGCCAGGTGTGGTGGTGCATTACCTGTAGTCCCAGCTACTCATGAGGGTGAGGCGGAAGGATCACCTGAGCCCAGGAATTCAAGGTAACAATCAGCTATGATCATGCTACCACACTCCAGTCTGGGCGACAGAGTAAGATCCTGTCTCAAAAAAAAAAAAAAAGGCAAGCAAAACAGGAAATTACTACCAGCTTCAGGTTCCCAACCTCCTGAGCCCACCCACTACTCCACTCAGGGCCAGTTGAGGGAAAGCATACTGGGGACCTCGGAAAGCAGGAAGGAAGTGCAGAATGTGGCTAGAAAGCCAGGAGTGAGAGAAACAGATGGATCAGAAAAACTGTCACAGAATCAAGAGACCACACCAAGACTTCAGGCTCTCCCTGCAGAACTACAGCCTGTTAACCTTGAGAAACACACCTCTTTCTCCTCCCCAGCACCCTCTTGGAAGATAAAGAAACTATACTCCTTGCTCCTCAGACTCTATGGTAACCCATGAGCCAGAATCTATACTCAATACAAAAAAGGGGCAAAAATCCAAGCAGGTTGTAAACTTTTCGAGTCCTTCATGAGGAGAGGTATTTTCCCTGTAAAATGTTTTTTTTTTTTTTTTCCTTTTTAAAGTTTGTTTCAAAATAAAGAGAGCACGAGAGAGGTCGTGGATTCTAGTGAAAGGTGTGTAAAACACAAGCTAAAAAAGGTACTGCCATCAATATGAAATTTAAAAAGAAATATATATATGTATATACGTGCAGCTAATTTGTGTATATATAATTTTTACATACATACATATATATGTCTGAACAGTGCAAATGGATGAAGTTCATAGTTCCAGTTTTAAAAATATAGTACAAGGAGAGGCTGTTGGTATGAGGCCCAGGCGAAAGAACAAAGATACCTTTGGCAAGCTGGTTGGGCTTATTTCCTTTCCTGTCTTAACTCAGTTGACTTCTGATGCTAACCAATCTGCTGTTCTCTACCACCTCAATTCCAGAGACATGAAATTCAGAGGGGGTTATTAATAGTATTTAGTTTAGGGCTTTTGAATATAATGACTTTTTAACTTTTTCTCTTCTTTTGTGTTAATGGTTACTCTGTCTGACACGGGACATGAAAGGGGTAAGAGGATGGGGGCGAAGGGAAGGGAAGGGGGTAAAGAAAGGCTAGGTGGCCATATCTCTCTGCTGTGACCTCGCCATCTGGAAAATGTTCTGGAAGGAAAAAAAAAAAAAAGAGTTATTGGGAAGCCACATCTCCTCTTATCTGGAGACAACTCCTCAAATGGAAGCTAAAAAGGTATGCCTGGACAGCTCAATCTGATTGGTCCCACCTGTCCTGATATAACTTCTCATCTAGAATCATAGCCTTTTAGAGCCGGCAGGGACCTTGAATATTAATTACCTGGTTCAGTCTTCCTGTTTTACAGAAGAGAAAACGGAGAACTAGGGAGGTTGATTTACCCAAAATTACACAGAGGGGGAAAAAAAAAAAACAAAAAACAGGAGAAAACCCAGATAAAATTCCCAGAGCCCAATGTTCTTTCCACTGTACTAAGAATATAAATTTTCACGTTCTTGACTTGACCTCTTTATCCTTTCAAAGATTTTCTTTGAGAATAAGTAGCTAATTATTCAGAATCTTCCAATTTCTTCTCCAGCACTGGCACATACAGACAGCAGTAAAGCAATAGCAAACACCTTTCCTCACATACACATTCTTGATTCACCTAGAAAGACTGCCAGGACTCATCCAGTCAGACGGCTACAACTGAGGACAGCTGCCCCTGTGGGTCAGGAGCAACATGGAGGGTGATCTGATTTAAAAAACTGGCAGAGGAGGGTCCATGAAGTCATGAGAGATGGAAGAGCCTGTAGCCAATGTCCACCCTCTAGACAAGGGAAGAAGCGGGGCTTTTTTGCACAGCCCGTTCACCATCCAGAGGCCAACCTTGCTGGAAGAATGTCCTGGCTCATATGAGATAATCAGTCTCTAACTAATATTCCTAGAAAGACAGAGATGGAGGTGAGGGTCCCAGGTATTTGGCCACAGGCCTATAAATTTTAAATAAACAAAAAGATGAAAAAGTCAATTCAAGGATTGTTTAGAATTACCTCTTTTCTCCACTTGAGCTCGCAGAACACCCTCTCAAAGCACTCATGCATGTAATTGAACTGAAAAAAAAAAAAAGGTGACTCTCACTGACTTCTCAAGAACAGACACCTCAGGACTGTGCCTTCGAACTCCTGTCCCCGGTTACCCCACCTCCCAAACTCAGTCTAGAGAAAAACCCTGACAGGTACCACAAAACCCAGGCCTGGTTCATCCTCTATTCTCTAGCTCCTTCTAGTGGTAACTACGAGCTAACTGGGATAGGAAATTGCCAATCCCAGTCAGGCCTAAAGGAAAGACAGGATGAATCTGGGGGCTCCAGGGTTCAAACAGGTTCAGATCTCAAGACCACTATCTCCATCTCCCTCTCCATTTATGCATGTAGCTGAAAAAACAAAAATAAAAACAAACAAAAAAAAACTAAGCCCCAGCTACTTTCCCTAATTCGCACTCACATATGGCGTGAAGATTTTCACCCATCGGGGCTTCTTCTCTCCTCGTGCATATTCGAAACAGAAGGCCATCCCTTCTTCATCTGTGTCCCATCGTTGCATCTCATCCCATTCAAATGCGATCACCTGGTTCTGGACAACCAAGACAAGGGAGTAAGGTACAGTCTGCGTTTGAGAGTGCCAGGGAACTGAGGTAGGGGGTTTGGACCAGGTGACAGAAGAGAAATGAATGGAGATGTCTGCATCACTTCAGAGAGAGGACTATGACAGAAGAGTACAATCAGTGGAGGCAGCCAATGAAGTTGAGGATCGGTGTGGATTCCATGTTTGTTTATTTGCCCCGGTCAAAATACGGTTTTGATTTCATTTCCCCCTAAAAAGGAATTAAAACATCACAACCAAGTGAGCATTGAAGTATCTTGGGTCCTCGTAGCCTGAGCCCTATGCTGAACACTCACCTCCAGCTGTCCTTCTTCAGTGCAGGCATGCAGTTTAAAGTGCGTGATGCTGATGGCTGTGATAACGTGCCCCTTCCTCCTGGAGTCACAGGCACAGTGGGGAAAGATGATTTCATTGTAGCCCTCACAAGTCCTTAGCATGTTAAGGTACTAGGGAAAAGGGAAGGAGAAACAGGGTTACTGTGTTACTAAACACATGAAGAGCTAATGAGATGTGGTGCAAGGAAAAGAGCAGAGAGTATTCTCACCCAACAACCTGAAGACCTGGCCTCTGGTCTTGCACCCATCCCTAAGTTGGGACAGGACTCTGAGACAATTCTTTTCCTTCTTTTTTGAGACCGGGTCTTGCTCTGTCACTTAGGCTGGGGAACAGTGGCATGATCTTGGGTCACTGCAACCTCAACTTCCAGGGCTCAAGCAATCCTCCCTCCTCAGTCTCTAGTGACCCTCCTGCTTCAGCCTCCCAAGTAGCTGAGACCACAGGCACCCACCACCATACCTGGCTAATTTTCTTATTTTCTGTAGAGACAGGGTCTCTCTATATTGCCCACACTGGTCTTGAACTCCTGGGCTCAACTAATCCTCCTGCCTCAGACACCCAAAGTGCAAGGGTTACAGGTATGAGCCACTATGTCTAGCTAGCAATTCTTTTTTTTTTTTTTTTTTTTTTTTTGAGATGGATTTTCGCTCTTGTCACCCAGGCTGGAGTGCAATGGCCCGATCTCAGCTCACCGCAACCTCCGCCTCCTGGGTTCAGGCAATTCTCCCGCCTCAGCCTCCTGAGTAGCTGAGATTACAGGCACGCGCCACCATGCCCAGCTAATTTTTTGTATTTTTAGTAGAGACGGGGTTTCACCATGTTGACCAGGACGGTCTTGATCGCTTGACCTCGTGATCCACCCGCCTCGGCTTCCCAAAGTGCTGGGATTACAGGCTTGAGCCACCGCGCCCCGCCCTAGCTAGCAATTCTTTATCCCACTTCCAAATTCTGTCTTCATACTTTTTTTAAATTTCTGCCATAAGTAAGGAAACAACACCTTCATACTTCTAACACTCCTTTCTCTACTTAAAAGAGATATACAGATGCCAGGCACAGTGGTTCATGCCTGTAATCCCAGCACTTTGGGAGACCAAGGCAGGTGGATCACGAGGTCAGGGTTCAAGACCAGCCTGACCAACATGGTGAAACCTCGCCTCTACTAAAAATACAAAAATTAGCCAAGTGTGGTGGCACACACCTGTAATTCCAGCTACTCGGGAGGCTAAGGCAGGAGAATTCCTTGACCCTGGGAGGCAGGGATTGCAGTGAGCCAAGATTGTGTCACTGCACTCCAGCCCAGGCGACAGAGCAAGCCTCAGTCTCAAAAAAAAAAAAAGATACACAGATGAAAACCAGAAGAGATACTATAACCAGAATAACCAGGACTCACAGGGCTGGAAGGGATCTCACAATTCTACTTAGTCTGATCCTCTCTTTTCATTGTAATCAAGGTATGGGAATCTAATCTATCCTTACAATTAAGAAAGGGAGTAAATATTTCTCATTCCTTTTCCAATCAAAAGTTACAATGATCTGTGGTAAGGATTAAGCCACCCCAAATCTCATATTTATAAAATGTTAAAACTGAAAGAGACTTTAACAATGAGTCATTTTATGGGAACTCAAGAGTAAGATGAGACTAGCCTGTAGTCACAAGTAACAGTAAGTGGCACAACCAGGACTAGAACCCAGGTTTAATTTCCAGGCCTCTGTTCCTTTTACTACCTCCAACTAGTCCCCAAATCAATGCTACTGTACCCTGGGTCTCCAGTATATATGTTTCCTTAAAAAGCATCTGGACCAAAATGAAGCAGTACATATGACTCTCACAGTTACAACACTGCAAAACCAATCCGGAGAGGCCAGGTGCAATGGCTCCTGCTTGTAATGCCAGCACTTTGGGAGGCTGCGGCAGGAGGATTGCTTGAGCCCAGGAATTTGAGACCAGCCTTGGCAACACAGTGACACTTTGTCTCTACAAAAAATTTCAAAATTGTCTGGGCATGGTGGTGTGTGCCTGTAGTCCTAGCTATTTGAGGGGCTTAGGCAGGAGGATAGGTTGAGCCCACGAGTTCAAGGCTGCAGTGAGACATGGTAATGCCGCTGCATTCCAGCCTGGGCAACAGAGCAAGACTCTACGTCTTTATTTATATACTTATTTGAAACAGAGTCTCACTGGAGTGCAGTGGTGCAACCATGTCTCACTGCAGCCTCCGCCTCCCAGGTTCAAGCAATTCTCATGCCTCAGCCTCCTGAGAAACTGGGACCACAGATGTGCACCACCACAGCTGGCTAATGTTTTGCATTTTTAGCAGAGACATGGTTTCGCCATGTTGGCCAGGCTGGTCTCAAACTCCTGGCCTCAAGTGATCTGGCTGCTTTGGCCTCCCAAAGTGTTGGGATTATAAGCGTGAGCCACCATGTCTGGCCGACAAGTGCAACAGTATTTCAATCTTCTTCCCTCCTTCCTTCTATCATCCTATTCCACCTTCTCTTTTTTATTGTCCTTCCTAGACCAGTGATAAACATGGATACTGCTTAATTCTGCCATTGGCACTATAAACAAAAGAAATCCCTGACTCCTATATTTAAGCCCAGCGGTTATAATAAACAGCAAAGCTTGGGACACAGAGGAGTGATTAAGAAGCCCAAACTGCCCTGGGCTTGAATCCTGGCCTCATTACTTCCTAACTGTGCAACCTTGGGCAAGTTAGTTTCCTCTTCTGTAAATGGGAAATAATAATAGCATCTATACCACAGCATTATTTGCGAGCATTAAATACAGAGTATTTGACAGAGCATGGTGGCTCACGCCTGTAATCCCAATACTTTGGGAAGCTGAGGTGGGAGGATCACTTGAGCTCAGGAGTTAGAGACCACCCTAGGCAATATAGTGAAACCCCATCTCTACAAAAAGAAACAAACAAAAAAATGTGCCAGGCACCTGTAGTCCCAGCAACTTGGGAGAGTGAGGCAGGAGGACCGCTTGAGCCCAGGAGGTCAAAGCTGTGATGGCACCACTGCACTCCAGTCTGGGCGACAGAGCAAGACCCAGTCTCAAAATAAAAGATAAAAATAAAAAAGGTATTTAACATAGTACTCGGCCATAATTAGGCATTTAATAAGTGGCAGCTAAGAAAAACTTTTTTAAGTATCTGGAAATTACTTTTAAAAATTCCTGGGGTAAGCTTCAAGTAAGTGACAGTAAAACAAACAAACAAATCTCCTGAGGGGAAAAAAGCATGTGAATGAGATGGAAGCAACATGAATGGCAGAAAGTTGAAGGCTATTGAAGCTGGGTAATGGGTACATGGGGGCTAACTGTATTTTTCTTCCAACTTCTTTATTTATTTAAAAATTTACACAGCCAGGTGCAGGGGCTCATGCCTGCAATCCCAGCACTTTGGGAGGCCGAGGCAGGCGGATCACGTGAGGTCAGGAGTTGGAGACAAGCCTGGCCAACATGGTGAAACCTCATCTCTACTAAAAATACAAAAATTAGTCAGGCATAGTGGCACGTGCCTGTAATCCCAGCTATATGGAAGGCTGAGGCAGGTGGATTGCTTGAAACTGGGAGGTGGAGATTGCAGTGAGCCGAGATTGTGCCACTGCACTCCAGCCTGCCTGGGCAACAGAGCAAGAGTCCATCTCAAAATAAATAAATTAATTAATAATATATACACACATACACACTCTCTCTATATATATATAAAATCACATTTTATTGTGTGTGTGTGCATACGTATACACAATAAATGTTAAAAAGAGCACCCTGGCAATCAGGCCTCTGGCACTCAATCCAAGCTATCTTCCTCATAGTCATCAGAAACTTTACATGCTCAGTAAGCAGCAACTCTGCTCCAAGATGCTTAAGACCTCTGCACAACTAATTCTATTCATGTCCTTTAACAAAATAGGATTACATATAGCACATCTGTTGAGAGTTCTCTTCAATGGGAGGCACCACTACTGTTTTGACAAATATTTCTGCCACAATCAATTGGGAGTTTTACTATAATAGATCTTTTAAAAAGAGAGACGCATGCAAAGGCAGGGATTGGTAAAAGAGACCAGAAGAAGTGTGGAGCTCTGAGTATCTTAAACTCTCTCTTTGTGACCTTGAGTAAGTTACTCTACCTGGGGTCTTCTCTTTTGCCATCTGGAAATAAAAGACATTGCTGGCATACTCTCTTCCCTGATGCAGGGAATATATATGCACCGGAGCCTGAAAAAAAATGGGTTCAAATCCCATTTTCAAATTCTAGTTCCACTTCTGACAAGCTATGTGATCTTGGGTAAGAATCTTAATCTCTCAGACTCCACCTCTCTGTAAAGTAAGAATACTACCTGCAGGGTTGTTGTAAGGGGAAAACGAGACTTCATATACAGTGCCTAGACCAGTCAGGCACATAATACATGCCCTCTGCGTCCCCTCTGAAATCAGACGGCTGATTTATCCCTCCGCATTCAAGACTGTAGTCCTTGAAAGCAAAAGACCTTCAGGGGACTTCTTAATGGCATAAGTTCTAAAAATAACCCAAGTGAAAACTAAGGGCACCTGTGCCCTTAGTGAGCTGATAAAGGTAAAGTCTCATTGGGAGACAAGGTTTTCAGAGCGCTCAGTTTGGGTAGGATTTAAATCCAGAGATTCTAGCTTGGTAAATGTAGGCCAGAGTCTAGAAATCTGAATTTTAAGCAGCTTCAAAAGTGATTGCCATGTAAGCAGACTAGGACCATACTTTGAGAAAAACTGACATACATACTGCCTTGTGTAAAATCATTACAAATTATGTTGAGAAACACAAATTATTTATCTGCTCAACAATGGCAAAATCAGGCCACTTCAACATAAGAAAAGCGTAATTTACACATGTCTATTGTTTGTGTGAAGAGAGAGAAGGAAAGGGAAGGAGGGAGGAAGGAAGAGAAGAGAAAGCATTGTTTCTTGTATATTACATTCTCAACCATCCAAATTTCAGATTCAGTCTAACTCTGTAAGTATAAAACAAAAATGTTTTTGATCACACTGGGTATTATAAACTAGGCACAGATGTGAGCTCTCTTCTGTATTTGGAGATTTGGAGGACAGGGAAACTTACACAAATCTTATTTATCTTCCAAGAATCCTGGAGTGGCCAGGCGTGGTGGCTCACGCCTGTAATCCCAGCACTTTAGGAGGCTGAGGCAGGTGATCACAAGGTCAGGAGTTCCAGACCAGCCTGGCCAACATGGTGAAGCCCCGTCTCAACTAAAGATACAAAAATTAGCCAGGCGTGGTGGCACGCACCTGTAATCCCAACTACTTAAGAGCCTGAGGCAGGAGAATGACTTGAACCCGGAGGCAGAGGTTGCAGCGAGCCGAGATTGCGCCACTGCACTCCATCTCCAGGAAAAAAAAAAAAGAATGCTGGAGTATTTTTTCAAGATTCTACTTAATAGCCGATAATCTGAATATCCCCACTCTACAGAAAAGAAACTAAAACTGAGAAGTTCATTGTATTGCCGAAGGTCTTACGGTGATGTGACAACTACTAATTGTAGTGGCCGAGCCTATTTGTAGGTCTGTTCACCACACTTAGGTGCTACGGTTAATGGCATCAGGGCCTATGGGCTCAGAAGGGTTCATTTGAGAAGTTTCAATGTATTGACCATGACCTAATATTGGCTAGGCTAATGCATTTGAATACTGATACTTGAATACATATTATACTTATAAAATTCAAACTCTGATGAGATTTTCTTCAAAATCTGACTACCGTAACATGTGACTAGTACATAGTTATATGTTGGCACTACGTTTTTAAGACAATTCCACAAATGTTTAAGCATATTTTACACACAATGGCAAAAGACCATGGGGAAACATCTGTGTATCAACTATACTCGAGTGTTTACCTGGGTGATTACAAAATATAAACAAGTCTAAAAATGACTTCATAACAGATTACTGTGTTTATTAAATTCAGATTTTCTCAATTTTGCCACAGCACAACGTAAACCTATTATTACTTTCACACCTTGCACTGTGCCTGGCACATACTCAGTACTCAAGAAATATGTTTTGTTGAATGCACAGATGAAAAGACAGTGTGTTTGGAGTACTGTAACTGCAAAGAAACAGTATATATTCCACACTGGCATGCAGAAGACCTTATGAAATTATTTTGATTCCATTAACTTTTCAGGAACAAGAAAACTTCGTTGGCTTTGGCAAAAGCAAAAGATTACTGCAGAAGTTGATGGCCCTTTTCACTAAAAAGATGGAAATGTATTAGAATCATGCATTAATAAACAGAAGACAATGTTATTATCTTAAAAAAACAAGCGGATGTTTTAGAATTCTGTCTCACACATAGCAAAATTCTCCAAACCAAAATTCTGCCAAGATTTAATTACGTTTAAAATATTTTGCATTTTCTATTTCAACCTGCTGATACACAGAACACTGGTAAGATGGCTCCTGGATCTTCGGTAATTTTCTAAGGTAAAGAGATTTCTTACTTTTCATCATATAAGTGATTAAAATAACCAATTTAGCTAGATACAAGGTTACAGGCTAAGTTCAATGGCTGACTTGTTTGCATTCTTTTATCTTGTTGTTTTTTTTTGAGACACTGTATCACCGTATCACCCAGGCTGGAGTGCAGTGGTGTGATCTCAGCTCACTGCAACCTCCGCTTCCTGGGTTCAAGCGATTCTCCTGCCTCAGTCTCCTGAGTAGCTGGGATTACAGGCACATGCTACCACGCCCAGCTAATTTTTGTATTTTTAGTAGGAGACAGGGTTTCATCATGTGGCCAGGCTGGTCTCAAACTCCTGACCTCAGGTGACCTACCAGCCGCGGCCTCCCAAAGTGCTGGGATTACAGGCATGAGCCACTATGCCCTGCAGTGAGAATCAACATTCTCTCCTGAAAAGTACACAGAAGGTAGAAAAGAATTCAAGTGACCTATCAGAATCATTACTAAAGTATGAAAATGATAAAGATGGACACTAACTTATAATAGTTAATGCTTTTTTGACTTTATGATAGTGTGAAAGCAATGTGTGTGCAGTAGACATTGTACTTCAAAATTTTTTTTTTTAAGTTTTCTGCTGTCTTTACAAGTACCTCAAATTTTTGTTCAAAGTTTAAATAACTTTAGGCCGTGCGTGGTGACTCACACCTGTAATTCCAGCACTTTGGGAGGCTGAGGCGGGCGGATCACTTGAGGTCTGAAGTTCGAGACCAGCCTGGGCAACACGGTGAAACCCCAACTCTACTAAAAATACAAAAATTAGACAGGCATGGTAGCAGGTGCCTATAGTCCCAGCTACTCTGGAGGCTGAAGCAGAACTGCTTGAACCCGGGAAGCGGATGTTGCAGTGAGCTGAGATCATGCCACTGCACTCCAGCCTGGGTAACAGCGTGAGACGCAGTCTCAAAAAAAAAAACAAAAAGTTTTAACTTTATTCTAAAATAGGCTTTGGGTTAGATGACTTTACCTGACTGTAGGGTAATATGTGTTCTGAGCACATTTAAGGTAGGCTAGGCGAAGCTTTAATGTTCAGTAGGTTGGGTGTATGAAATGCATTTTTTATTTAGTATTTTTAACTTAAGATGTGTTTATTGGGATGTAACCCCATTATAAGTGGAGGAGCATCTGTAATTGAAAAAACTTCAACTACACGTGAATCTTCCAAGAGAGAAATTTTAAAATGCTATAAAAAATTTTTGTGTTCTTTACTAATTTTATTTTTGACAATTTCCATCCCTGTATCTATGGCAGATACAAATTGAAAACTAATTTAAAGCCATTTAAGGAACACTCCAGGCAGTCCTGTTCAATAAAACTTTCAATGATGATAAAAATGTTCTATACCTGTACAGTCCAATATGGTAGCTACTTACTGTGCACATATGGTTGCTTAGCATTAAAACGTGGCTAGAGCATCTAAGGAACTGAATTTTAAATTTTATTTAATTTAAATAAATTTAAATTTAGATTTAAATAGCCACGAGACTAATAGCTACTGAATCAAATAGCAGAGTTCCAGGATGATATACTAACCAAGAGCACTACAGAGCACAAATGTTTAAGCAACTGCAGAAATTGAGGCTGTAAAAACAAATGATTTTGCTATTGCTAAATCATGACTAAAATAATGTCTAATGTTAAAAATCTAGGCTGGGTGCAGTGGCTCACATCTGTAATCCCAGCACTTTGGGAGGCCGAGGCAGGCAGATAATGAGGTCAGAAGTTTGAGACCAGCCTGGCCAACATGGTAAAACTCCATCTCTACCAAAATACAAAAATTAGCTGGGTGTGGTGGCAGGCACCTGTAATCCCAGCTACTCGGGAGGCTGAGGCGGGAGAATTGGTTGAAAACCCAGGAGGCAGAGGTTGCAGTGAGCCAGGATTACGCCACTGCACTCCAGCCTGGATGATAGAGCAAGACTCCATCTTGGGAAAAAAAAAAAAATCTAAATATCGTTCTTATAAATTGTATCTATATCCTATTGTAATGTTTTATACAACTTTTGTTTTAGCACTTTTTAATTTTAAAAAAAGTTATTATTAATAATAAAATTATGGGCTGGGCTCAGCGGCTCCCAAAGTAATCCCAGCACTTTGGGAGGCCAAAGCGGGTGGATCATCTGAAGTCAGCAGTTCGAGACCAGCCTGGCCAAATGGTGACACCTTGTCTCTACTAAAAAATACAAAAGTTAGCAGGGCATGGTGGCACATGCCTGTAGTCCCAGCTACTCGGGAGGCTGAGGCAGGAGAATCACTTGAACCCAGGAGGCACAGGTTGCAGTGAGCCTAGATCACGCCACTGGACTTCAGCCTCAGCAACAGAGCGAGACTCTGTCCCCTGCACCAAAAAATAATAAAATGATGTACCAATATACAGTAATTTAAGATTTTTGTGTGTTAAATGGAGAAACACGATGGACTTTGCATCAAGATCCCTATTCCCCACCTTTTTAAAAATTAGGTAAGCCACTAACCAGGCTGTAATCCTCTCAAAAATGACAGGTTTAAAAGTCAGGAAGGGGCATTTTATAAAAGGATTATGGAGACATAAACTTACCATGACCATTTTTCTTTGTTCATATAGCTTCTGTAATTGGTAGGACTTTTCTTCTGCTTTGATGTAACCTTTCTTCACATCATCGACCGCCTATCACCAAAACAGAAGTAGAGACGAAAGGAGTGTAAAAATCATTATTATGTACATTCTCAATGAAAATCGACACAGATACATTTTCAGCAAATCTCTTGTCCACTTGAACCACCATCATTACCAGTGAGCTCTGTCACATGTCCAGGGATATGGTCCGGCTCTGTGTCCCCAGACCATATTGAATTGTAATTCCCATGTGTCAAGGGAGGGACCCGGTGGGAGGTGACTGGATCATGGTCTGGTTTCCCCATGCTGGTCTCGTGATAGTGAGGGAGTTCTCGCTAGATCTGATGGGGCTTTTTTGTTTGATTGTTTTGAGATGGAGTCTGGCTCTGTCGACCGGGCTGGAGTACAGTGGCACAATCTTGGCTCACTGAAATCTCTGCCTTCTGGGTTCAAGTGATTCTCCTGCCCCAGCCTCAGAGTAGCCGGGACTACAGGTGTGAGCCACCACATACAGCTAATTTTTTTATTTTTAGTAGTGACGGGGCTTCACCATGGTTGGCCAGTCTAGTCTTGAACTCTTGACCTCAAGTGACCACCTGCCTCAACCTTCCAAAGTGCGGGGATTACAGGCATAAGCCACAGCGCCTGGCCTAGATCTGATGGTTTTAAAAGTAGCAGTTTGCCCTGCCTACACTCTCTCTTCCTACCTTGTGAAGAAGGTGCTTGCTTCTCCTTCACCTTGTGCCATGATTGTAAGTTTCCTGTGGCATTCCCAATATGTGAAACTGTGAGTCAATTAAACTTCCTTTCTTTATAAATTACCCAGTCTCAGGTAATGCCTTTATAGCAGTGTGAGAATGGACTAATACATCCAGTAACAGGTATACTTACTGGAATAACTAGCATTTAAAGAATATCTAGCACATGCTCAAGCACTGTTCTAAATATATGTGAGAGATCTGGCTTCTCATGTCAAGAGACTTAAATATCAGTAATTTTATACCTGTGTAAACAATTAGAGAGCACTGAAAGATGCTATCTGATGCTGTATTAAAGGTAACAATTAAATAGCAAACAAGTATGGTACAGACAGTGATATGTGCAGTCAGAATGGATGCACTTATTGGTAATTACAGTTATCAGGGAAGCCTGGGGTGGATCCACAAAGCATAGATTGAAGAAGAGAAATTTTAAGCTAACATCAGGAAACAGGAATAAGTCTGTGCTTAAATACTTTGAGAAAACAGATTTACCTGATTTAAATAAAGGAATAGGAGACAATGCAAGATAATGCTGGATAGGCAGACTAACAACAGATTATAAAAGATTCTAAAAAGCAGGCACAGGAATTTAGACTTAAGGAAACAAATAACAGGAAGCTAAAATAAGCAGTACAAAACGGTTTCTTCTGGCCAGGCATGGTGGCTCACGCCTGCAATCCCAGTACTTTGGGAAGCTGAGGTAGGTGGATCTCCTGAGGTCAGGAGTTTGAGACCAGATTGGCTAACATGGTGAAACCCTACCTCTACTAAAAATACAAAAATTAGCTGGTCATGGTGGTGGGCACCTGTAATCCCAGCTACTTAGGAGGCTGAGGCAGGAGCATCGCTTGAACCCAGGAGGCAGAGGTTGCAGTGAGCCAAGATCATACCACTGCACTCTAGCCTGGGTGACAGCGAGACTCCAGCTCAACAACAACAAAAAAAAGGTTTCTTCTGTATTAAAGAAGAAATTTATGTTTGATTTCTTGTTTGAGGGCCACATGAATTAAACTGAAGAGAGAATGAAATAAGGAAGATCGGTGATGTTATGGTACTTAAGGTAGAAATCATTTCCCAGAGTCTTTGAAAGAAAAATAGTTGGATGGGCAAATGAGTTCAAGATTAAGTCAAGAGACTAATTCATCATTTAGCTCTGTCAGCTACCAATGTGCGCTTGCATAAGTCATGTAAACCCTTTCACTGTGTAAAACTGGAATATCTCATAGATGGACCACAAAAAGATGACAGATGTTAAGAGTTTTGTAAAGTATATATAAGTAGCTATTATTAGTATCATTTAGCTATTAAGTTCTTCTAAGAATCGCACAAGGATGTGAATGTCCTGCCGGGAAGTGAATAACAGAAAGACTATGCCAGTCTCTCCCCAGTCTTGGCCACACATGTGAGGGCTCAGTTAGGCACCGAGGATTACAGCCACAGAAGGGAAGGGCTGTTCAATAACAACCACCACGCAATGTCAATGTCCTGAAGAACCTGAACATGAGGCTTTCCATCACCAAAAGACTGTGCTGCTCCAGCCAAATTTAAACCAATTATTGACAAGCTGGCAGACAAGCAGGAGGGGAAATAAACAATACTGGTCTATCCAGTTTCTAAAGTAACTTACAGTGTTATCTAGTTCAGGGAAAAGGCTTTACAATTATTTTGCCGTATTTCTGTATTGTTTAGATGAGAATAAGAATATAAGAAAACTGCCTTTCTGTTTTGTTTTTACCCCCAATGCCTACAACTATGTCTGACTCACAGCTAGACTATTTGATGAACACTTCCCCAAGGTAGAGGTGAGTCAGTGATTATCTACTCCAGCAACTCCAAGTGAGCTCTTTTTTCACATGGGCAGTAAAAATGGTCTTCTTTGATTTCTAATCAAGAAATTGCTTGCCCAGGTGTGGTGGCTCATACCTGTAATCCCTGCATTTTGAGAGGTGGAGGCAGGAGGATCACTTGAGGTCCAGAGTTTGCAACCAGCCTGCCTAACATACCGAAACCCTATTTCTACTAAAATACTAATTTTTGTATTTTAGTAAGCAGGTAATCCCAGCAACTCGGGAGTCTGAGGCAAGAGAATCACTTGAACCTGGGAGACAGAGGTTATATCTCCGTGAGCCAAGATCACACCACTACACTCCAGCCTGAGAGACAGAGCGAGACTCTGTCTCAAAAAAAAAAAAAAAAAAAAAAAATTACATTGCTTGACTGACTCTGAGTAGAAAACATAAATATCACCACCCTAGATTCCCTTTTTACTTAAATTTTTTAGATTAAAGTAAAAGATGTATATAGTTTTAAAAAACAAAACAAACAGTACTAAAAAGCTCCTCATAAAAACAGCAGCCTCCTGCTCCCAGAGCTTCATTCCACAAAAACAACTACTGATAGGCACTTTAAGCAATTTCTTGTGATATTCCTTCCATAATTCTAAATGGCATGCCTACACTAATAATTCCTGACCTACCAATTTTAGACACTATAGACTTACTTTGTTGAAAATATTTGGTTTTAACTCTTGTAGCACCCAAACACTCCCTCTTCCTCTTCCCCCAACTTCTCGATAAAAAATTAAATACTCCATAACTGCATTATTTATGATAAGTATGTAAACACTGCTCACAACTAAACTATACACTATGCTATGACTTTCCTTCTTGCCTAATTTTTTACTTTCTCTGAGGTTAAATGCTTTGTGTTTTTGTTTGTAAATTCCAATGTACCTATCACCAATATTTCCTCCACAATAACCAAATATCAAAACTCTTTTACTTAGACATTCATTTTCTAAAAACTGTCAACAATTTTCATCTGCTGTAGTATCCTCCCTTGTTTCTCTTTGTCCTTGCAAGTTTACACTTTCCACTACTGCTACTTTTGCAAGCTTTCAGGAAACAGCAGTTTAAATGTGTGTACAATTTGCCAGGTTTAGCCAGAATTTAAACATAAATGATTAATTTTTATCTTATTAATTTTTTAAGGAAAAGGCTCTTATTATCATTAGCATCTAACATATAATATCTCATCAATTTAAATGTACACATTATTTCATATTTTAACATCTCTGAAATCGGGATGCATCTTACAGTCAATGATGTGTCAGTTTAACTGACAGCTTTTTTCTCTTATCAATACATAAAATAATGGGATGCATAATTGATAACATCTTAGAATTATGAAATTCATTGAATATTCCCACCATCAAAATATGATATAAAAATAATTGAAATTAAGTAAAGGAAATTTAGTATTACTTTTCAAAAGATACAGTTGTTTACTTAGTCCATCAAAAAACAGCAGCCAGGCATGGTATTTGTGGCCAGGCACGGTGGCTCATGCCTACAATCCCAGCACTTTGGGGGGCCAAGCTGGGTGGATCTTTTGAGGCCAGGAGTTTGACACCAGTCTGGGCAACATGGTGAAACCCCATCTCTATTAAGAATACAAAAATTGGCAGGGCGCGGTGGCTCAAGCCTGTAATCCCAGCACTTTGGGAGGCCGAGGCGGGTGGATCACGAGGTCAAGAGATCGAGACCATCCTGGTCAACATGGTGAAACCCCGTCTCTACTAAAAATACAAAACATTAGCTGGGCATGGTGGCGCGTGCCTGTAATTCCAGCTACTCAGGAGGCTGAGGCAGGAGAATTGCCTGAACCCAGGAGGCGGAGGTTGCGGTGAGCCGAGATCGCACCATTGCACTCCAGCCTGGATAACATGAGTGAAACTCCGTCTCAAAAAAAAAAAAAAAGAATACAAAAATTATCTGGGCTTGGTGGCACACGACTGTAGTCCCAGCTACTTGGGAGGCTGAGGCATGAGAGTCGCTGGAACCCAGGAGTCACAGGTTGCAGTGAGCCGAGATCATGCCACTGAACTCCAGGCTGCGAGACAGAGCGAGACTGTCTCAAAAAACAAACAAACAAACAAATAATTTGAGATGGTACAGTCACTGTGGAAAACAGTACAGCAGTTCCTCAAAAAGTTGAAAATAGAATTGCCATGTGATTCAGTAATCCCACTTCTGGGTATACTGAAAGAAGTATCTCAACAAGATTATCTGCATACCCATGTTCATAGCAGCATTATTCACAATACCCAAGAAATCAAAGAAACCCCACTGTCCATGAATCAATGTTTAGATATGGTATATACATACAGCAAAATATTATTCAGCCTTAAAAGGGAAGGAAACCCTGTCGTATACTACCACAACACGCATGTATGAAACTTGAGGACATTATATTAAGTGAAATAGCCAGTTAAAAAAGGCAAATACTGTA